ACTTTTATGCACATTGGAAATAATAGTAATTTTAGCACGCCCTGTATGATATGGAGTCGATTTCTTGGTATTATTTGAATATTTCGAGTTTGTCCAAACTATCATCAAAATATCAACTTTTCATGAATTGAGAGTACTGATGTACTTAATTTCAATTAAGGCTATGTTTTGGACCATATTTAGCACAACTTATTTTTTTATCTCGAAAACAGATAGAGATAGGTATGGGACATTATTAACAAGAAAGTATTAAAATACTAGAGCGATTCCAAAAATGTATTAACATACGGGGTGTTCCATTTAAAAAATTAAGTTGCTAGAACTTTTTGATGGAAGTGGCAACGCCGCAATGCTGGAAATATTTTAGATCGATAGAACAGGTAAGGAATTGTGAGAGGTGGAATTTTCAGAAAAATCACGCTTTGCGTTTTCCAGAAACGTCTAACCGACCATCGACCGTGAGTCACGCTGTATGTTTCGTACATTTGTATCACCACTTTCATTACCGTCCTTCGTTTCTGCGTCATGTACATGTCATATATTTTTTTTATTTTGTATTCGAGCATATTCCGTTGTTATGCAAACTTTTCAGAAATGATTCATTGCTCCACATGCTGAACACTTTTTATATTTAGCAGGACATGAGAGTCTTTCCCCTTGTGGCGTGATTTTCCACATGATAAACAGTATTTTTCCATGTTCGAAGTCAGAGTGAAATTGTATTTATCTTGTTTGAATTTATAACTTCTGTCGTTGCGTTCAAGATGTTCTGGAAATGTACTTGATCGTTCGAAACCTGAATTTACAATATTTGTACGTTTGACACTAAACTGTCCTATCTCGACTGTAGCAGAGCCAGTTCCAAAATAAAATGCTGTTGCTTCAATTTCTTCCAGGGTGGCTGTATTATTTGGATGTAACCTAATTAATTCCTGTTGCCAAGCCATGTTGTTGATGCTGTTGATTGTGAGCGAAGGACCACCCTTGTTAGGGACGAGTAATGAAACGTGAACGTGTAACTATAACTATTTTAATGTATTGCAGATGATGATGATGACCGACCATTACCGCAATGTGCGGTAATGGTCGGTCGGTAGCCAAGCGGTTCGGCGTGGGTACTTTGTTCACTCACTCGAATTGACTGCCGTGTTGGTCGGTGGTTCAAGCCCTAGTCTGAACGATTGATCTTCACTTGCTATCGTCCAACCCGTGTTAGGAATCACACGTTAAAAGGTAAGATCTCGTTATTCCTTAGCTCGCACAAGTTTCGACGTCTGAGGGTTTTCGTTCGTACGGGTGCGACAGCTAGTTAATGGAAAAACGATTTTGAACAGACAGATTTTGAACAGACTGACCCTTGAGACTTATCTCTTTTTAAGTTCGGTTGCCAAGGGCACATCCAAGGATAGCGATTGGGAATTGACGAGGTTGACAATGTCGCCATTTCCCTTTGGAACAATAAAAGGAATACAAATAAAATGATTGCACAGATACCAATAACTAGTTGATCTCGAAGACGTTCCTTCAAACTATCGGAAAATTCACAATTTCCTGCCAGTCCACGGAAAATGTTCATAAACTGCGTAATGGTTTCACTGTCCTTTCGATAACGGAGCACAAATGCTACCCTTTGAGTCAGAATATATTTTGTCTTACCATGATATTTGTTTAGTACGTTCACAATATCGTCAAAAGATTTTGTTTTCACTTCATCTGGCTCAAAACTCAAAATGATCAACTAGAATCTCAAAATATTCAGGTCCTACCTTGCTCAAAAGCAAATTACGTCGTTTCACTTTAGTAGGCTCGTCGTTTGTGTCCAGACCATGAAGTTGTAATTCCATTTTGAAATGTTGTATGTAATACTCCCAGATTAGTGTGAAGTTAACCACGCTTTGTTGGGATAAACGAGAAATTGTAAGCAGTGTTGCCAAGTTTCTCATGAATCTGAGGCTGGTATTTAATTAAATACCCCAATCCCCAATCGCCCAATTTGGCGATATCATACAAATGAGCCAAACAAATCAAAAATTTTGTTTGAAGATGAATACTTTCTATTCTTTGACAAAAATTCTCATTTTCCAAATCACGGTGGGGACTTCGTGAAATTTTGTGGAATGCCTTTCTACGGGGTATACCTTTCATGGGGGTACTCATCTACGATGAGTGTGTGCTAACAGGGTGAATCATCAAATTAGCGTGACATGCCGTACGGACTGCCATACGAATTTTTATTTTTCGCAAAATAAAAAAATTCTTATTTTCCAATCTACGATGAGTACCCCCATGAAATTTTGTGAAAGACTATTCAGAGGGGTGTGCTAACAGGATGAATCATCAAATCAGCGTAATATGCCGTAAGGACTGCGATACGAATTTTTATAGTTAGGAAAATGAAAAATTTATATTTTTCAATCTACGATGAGTACCCCCATGAAATTCTGTGAAAGACTATTCAGAGGAATGTGCTAACAGGGTGAATCATCGAATTAAAGTGACATGCCGTACGAACTGCGATACGAATTTTTATTTTCCAAAAAATAAAAAATTCGTATTTTCTAATGTACGATGAGTACCATCATGAAATTTTGTGAAATTCTATTCAGAGGGGTGTGCTAACAGGGTGAATCATCAAATTAGCGTGACATGCCGTACGGACTGCGATACGAATTTTTATTTTTCGAAAAATAAAAAAAAATTGTATTTTCCAATCTACGATGAGTACCCTCATGAAATTTTGTGAAAGACTATTCAGAGGGGTGTGCTAACGGGATGAATCATCAAATCAGCGTAAGATGCCGTACGGACTGCGATAAGAATTTTTATGATTAGGAACATGAAAAATTCATATTTTTCAATCTTCGATGAGTACCCCCATAAAATTTCGTGAAAGACTATTCAGAGGGGTGTACTAACAGGGTGAATCATCAAATTAGCGTGACATGCCGTACGGACTGCGATCCTGATTTTTATTGTTTGGAAAATAAAAAATTTGTATTTTCCAATCTACGATGAGTACCCCCATGAAATTTTGTGAAATTCTATCCAGAGGGGTGTGCTAACAGGGTGAATCATCAAGTTAGCGTGACATGCCGTACGGACTGCGATACGAATTTTTATTTTTTGATGATGATGATCCATTCTGTTAGCACACCTCTCTAAATGGTCTTTCACAAAATTTCATGGGGTTACTCATCGTAGATTGGAAAATACAATTTTTTTATTTTTCGAAAAATAAAAATTCGTATCGCAGTCCGTACGGCATGTCACGCTAATTTTATGATTCACCCTGTTAGCACACTCCTCTGAATAGTCTTTCACAAAATTTCATGGGGGTACTCATAGTAGATTGGAAAATAGGAACACATCTTAGATGAGTACCCCCATAAAAAGGTATACCCCTTAGAAAGGTATTCCACAAAATTTCACGAAGTTCTCGTCCTGATTTGGAAAATAAGAAGTTTTTTCAGAGAATATGAAGTATTCATCTTCAAAAAAAAATTAATGCGTGTCAAAATCGATACTGTTAATACGCTTCCTATGTTTACTCAATACGTTTATGAAAAATTATCAGTGAAAAATTTTATTTCAAGTTCTTCTCTGTGTGTATACGTTTAGAAAATTTTTCTTGTTTTGTTCGGGTCATTTGTATGATATCGCCCAATTAAATACCAGCCTTAAATTTATGAGAAACTTGGCAACACTGCTTACAATTTCTCCTCTATCCCAACATGGATAGTCGGCACGTCAGAAACTGTGGATGGAAAAGCGTGGCTAACTTCACACTAATTACTCCCAGCCCTCTTTTTCCAGAGAAAATCTTTCTGGAAATATCTTTCTGGTTTAGCTTGTTGGCTGCTTGCTTTGAATGTTTTTGTCGTAGTGTTTGATATGTCTGTATTCTAAACTTTCACTAGTTTATCCTCGTCGCCATATAATGATTGTGATGAGCTGATTGTAATGATCACTTTCCATACTAATAGTCGATGTGCTTATTGATTATAATAATACACGTCACATAAATATTAGAACTGTCAGTTGCAAACTAAAATTGTAGACTCGCTATATGAACATGAATAATAACTGAAGAAACATGATACTACAAAAAACATCATAGACAGTCTAGGGTCATTAAGGACCCCCAAATAACCTATAACATCTCCGGAGTTGTACCGGATTCTTTGTATCTGTGGATCAGTTTATTGGAACGACGGATTGAAGTGTTGGAACCTTCTTCCTGAAAACAAGATAAATTGTAATCTGGGCCATATCGACAAATCAGCAGTAGCCGAACATATGTTCAGAAAATGCACTCAATTTATTGCCTTCGAAGAGACCCAAGTGCTTGACTTCGAGCCGTTATCAAATATTATATAAGGAGGCGATAGAAATTCAAAAACACAAACAATCTCCACCAAAAGGAATATGATTTTTTTAAAATAACGGTGTTTGATTACCTGATGCTGAGTTGAAACTAGAAAACTATTTATGATAAAATTTTCTGTAGAATGTTTCAACTAGTAGAACTTGTAGAAATGAGAAATTTGACTATTTCATGCACTTAAAAAATTCGATAAGCCTTATTGCAAGTTTCAAATTTTTGGGAAATTGAAAATCTTATAGATAGTGAAATATTTTTCAGAATGAGAACTGTACATTCAGCTGTACTGCTTCATGCAGTAAGTATAACAACTGGCAGAGAAAATTCATATCCCTATTTATCATAATCTAACATAAACTCATCAAAATCTAATTTTGGAGGATGATCAATAATGTATAAAGTTATCACTAATTATATTATAATCCAATTATAAAATCGTAATAGTTTTAATCGAAATAATTTTCCGCTCACCGTCAAAAGATTCTTTTTAGTTTATTTTATTGAAAATTACGTTTCTTTTAGAATGCCTTTTCAAACATTAAGGGGGCATTCAGAAAAGTTAGAGCAGGGTTGAACAAGGTGTAGAAATTATCAGAACAAACGAAACTTTTCTACTTACGGTTATCCAACGAAGTGGTATTTTTGAAAATTTTTCGTTTTTGCAGCGGCCTACAAGGATCCAACGAAGGTAATTTCACTTTGTGAAGTGAATCCTTCACAGCGATATTGAAAATTTTGTCATTTATTTCCGATAGGGAGTTTGATCGTTGATGTTGAAAACTGTCAATTTTTTGTGATGATACGACGGGTTTTGAGGTGATCATATTTGGTGATAATATCATATTGCTGTCAGAAGGAGTTGTTGGGAGTTCGGTTTCATTTTGAAGGTAGCGCAAACTGAAAATTAGTAAATATACAAAAATATGTCACACATTCAAAATAACAAAATTTCATAGACAAAGCACTATTACAAAATGAAAACATGTGTTTGTAGTTAATTAGGCTTCATCTGTACGGTACAGCTTAATGCACGGGTAGGTAGCATTTGATTACAGAAAACAATACAAATAGCCTAAGTTATCAACGGAAGCCATCTGAACTTTATGGTTTCGGCCAAATCGTCTCGGGTTAGATGCAGTTTGAGCTACACGCGTGATATCCAGTTTCAGTATACAATACATATTTTAGTTTCGTGAGTGTATTTGATGTACATCAAAACAAGGAACATTGATGTATGAAATACTAACAAAATGCAAACACGTGTTTCTGGCTAGTCAGCTTTTATCAGTACGTGAATTTATGTTTTTTTCTGCACTTGAAACCGTACTGATGAAGGCTATTACCAAGAAACATTTGTCTGCAGTTCCATTGAGTTTCTTCATATCGATTTATATCATATACAATCACGAAACTACCATCTGTATTATATGCTGGATCCGGATATCAGGCAGGTAGTTGAAGCTGAATCCGGGGAGACTTAAATAATTTCTCTAACTCAAGGCAATAGTGTTGTCCTAAGGCCGGTTGAGGACCCGTCACCACTCGACCTTGATCTTGAAAGATATCACAAGACCTTCAGCTATGTTTAAGGCTATATGACCTTGAAAATCAAATTTGACCTTGAGATCCGAGATATGTGAATGTCGTATGATCTTGAACATGATTTTTTTACCCTCAAATTCGAGTCTGTCTCCGGAACGTGATCTTGTGGTTCGACCTTCGAGGGCGTCTCACGACCTTGAGCTATGTGGCAGTCCTGACCTTTACACATAGTATTGGAGCCTTGCACTTTCTCCTTGAGATTCAATTGTCACCGCTACATTACCATGAACCCCATCCCCCCTCTTTTCATGATGTCTTCTATTTAAGTTCACTGCATCATATATTCACATTAAGTTTAGAGTATCTAAAGTGAATAGTTGATGAGTATTTATGACGACGACGATATCAGCTAGTATCTACCAATCCTAGAAGTGAACATCATCATTGTTATCCTCACATAGGTGAACATATTTTATATATTTCGTGCCGTAAATTCACTATACTGAGTTTTTATAGTACGTTATTTAAAGAATAGGGGCAAGAAATTGAAGTGCTAATTAGGTGCTCACTAGATAAATAATAGTAAACCTAGATTCCATAATGCCTATGGGGCATTATGGAAAACCACCATGACTAACGAACTGAGTTCTTACAGTACGTTCCTCGATAGGTAAGGTAACCACCATTAAAAAAATGTTTGAAATACCGACTACCGACCGGCCGGTCGGTAGCCGGTAGCGGTTCGACGTGGATATTTTTTCAGTTAACCAGCTATCGTACCCATACAAACGATAACCTTCAGAAATCGAAACTTATGGGAGCTAAGAACTAACGAGGTCTTACCTTTCAAAGTGTGATTCCTAACACGGGTTGAACGATAGTAAGTGAAAATTGAGCGTTCAACCTGGGTCTTGAACCATCGACTCACACATCGGTCGATTGACTGAGTGAACAAAGCATCCACGATGGACCGCCCGGTATTTTGAACATTTTTTTTATGGTGATTATCGGGTCCCTGATGGTTATCGGGTCCATAAGCCTCATATGAATTATGGAATCTAGAATTACTATAAATATCTAATGAGCACCTAATTAGCACGGTACATCAGTCATGGTGGTTTTTAGGTCCATGAGCCCCATAGGCATTAAAGAATCTAGTTTTACTATGAATCACTTAATTAGCACTCTATTTTGATTGTCTATGTATTAGTTTACGAGTATCTCGAGACTTTATTGCATATTGTTAATTTTTTTTCTCAAATCGGGTATCTCAATTTTTTTTTGCTTATTCGCGGTCGTTTTCTTCTTAATTTCTTAGCGAAATTGGAAGCTTTTGTTTATTAATTTTACGATCCTCACCGTTTAACACTTAATTAGCACCTAATAGTGTTTCCTTAACATTCATTATTTTATTATTATTTTCAACGCAATGCAATTTTGAGTATTGAGTTGCGGTGTAAGTTACAGAGCACCTAATTTTTGACTTCGGTACCTGAAAGTACCTAATTTTGGCATTTTCTAAATGTGATTTCCGTACTTTGCGTTGCTGGCGTAACAGAGCTTCAATATGATTCATACTACATTTTTACTAAAATAAAACCCCACTTTTAATATTTTTGTAATTTTTATCATTGAGAATAATTTTCCCGTAAACGCCTATTCATACCCAAAAACTGAGGATAAACACCGCTTTTGACTAGGTAAAATTAGTTCTTGCTTGGTTTCGTAAGCAGCTCACTTGTTGCAACCTGTAAATACTCTGATCATACCAAAGAATCTTTCCTTATTTTTAACTGAAGTGCCAAATCATATCCATTCGCGATTTTGTTGTAAGTTGCTGCTCATTATTTAGCGATTAGTGTTTCATTGCAAAATTGAATCGGTATTGTGTCAAATTCAGTTCAATAATCAATATTTTAAGTGTCACACAGCTCAAATTATTAATAATATTTGAAAACCATGGGCGGCTAGAATTGAATCATTTTATCCAATGAACGTTATGACGAAAATAATGATATATGAGTTTTTGTTGAAATATTGACTTCTTCATATTAATTGTTAAAGGTTATTGACCAGAGGTTTCACAGCTTCAACTGCGAAAATGAATGAAAATATTTGAAATTAGAAACAATAGCTTTGAAACGAATGTTTTATCCTAAATAGAATTGTTACCTGCAGATTTACACTAATGTTTGAAGAGTTTGTACGCGAATTTAATATAATTTTGCCATAACAGATTTGACAACATAATTTTCAATTATATTAATCAATTTTATTCGATAATGGAATTTTTGTTATCGTTCTAAGTATTCTGATAGTTTCAATACAGGGAATCTCATAAAGCTCTTTTTATACATGTTTTTCATGAAATTTCAGATATGGTTTCCAAAAGAACTAGATATATGGTGTTGTTCGGGCGTTCACCCTGTATAGTCACTCCCCTCTCGGATGCCAGACACAATCCTGAGGTCGACGAGAAGAACAGGCAGAAGTGTACAAGTATTCAAACTGAACAGACACTATATTACTATTTCATATTTTTATCTGTATATTAGTATGTTATTGAATAAATAAGTTTATGTTGTCGTTTTTACAAAACTAAATTCAGTGCAACTTCATTACAATACCTAACAGGTGTCTTTAGCAAAACATGATCTGGTTGCCTCAGAAAATCAACTTTTGCCTATTTGTACTAAAGGCAATATTGAAATGGAAACTCTACAGTCATTGACTGACTTAGAATACGTTTACAGAATGCAAGATAGCAATGAAAACAATCATGAACCTAATAATCCAGAAGAAAAACAAACGAATAAATGTAGTAGTTTCAGTATCAAACCAAGCAGTGACGATTATTATATCGGCATATCAAACTGGTGATCTTCCTCTTGAAGATGATCACATGGTGATCGAAACACGTGTCGAGGTATTAGAATAACGGTTTGGTGTTGGGAAAAAACTCCAGTAATATTCATTATCTAGAAAATGGCATTATGCTTCCACGCATAGATATATGTTCAAAAAGGTTATTTTTATCGTTGTTTTAATAAAAATGAAATGAATAAAAAACACTTATGTCTAAATACTACTGGTAGATTTCATTTATACGTATACGACCGGTTTCACCGAAGAGAACAGACGTCTCTCACGTGCTCCTAGTTAGAACAAAGAAAGTGTGGTAATAAACTGTGAAGTTTACTTTCAAGTGTACTATCAAGCAGTATTAGTGTATATCAATCATCTATAGGGTGAATACTACCAAAGTATTCAATTTAAACAGTCAAAACAGATAAATAACCAGTGCTTGTGAACGCTTCCCAAACAGACAAAGGAACCACGTGGCCACCCATGTGTCGTCCCTGCCCGTCCAGTACCTCGTAGTCCTTGGAGCAGGATGTTTTTAAAATTGATTTAAAATATTCATAATAATTTTCAAGTTTTTACTTGTAACTGTAAGTGAACAGTAAACATGGTACTATCGACATCAATGCAATCTTGCATCCAGTTCCATGATTTCAAGTGCTGAAAATACATTGCGTACAACAGCCCAAGCAGCGGTTATCAGTCTATCCAACGAATTCACGGCCAGCAGCATCGATATCTTGTCAAAATCGTCAGTGGTCAAGGTAAGTCTTTGGACTATCCTATCTTATCCTATTCATATATTCTTTCATTGTTCAATATATCGTTTCGATTACTATTTTCACTCAATCAATCTTTTAAAAAATTATGAAAAGTTCTTATCGCGTTTAGATCCGTCAACTGACTTTCCTGCTCTAGAAAAACAGTTTAACGAAATAGAAACAGTGCAACGTTCCAAATCTGTCAATCAGACCTTGAGTTAATTCTCGAAAAATCGGAAGAATTAAGCGATTATCGCACGAATTTTGAGGAACAATATTTTGATACATTTTACATTGCCTCAAATTTACTAGCTTCTCGCGGACAATCACAGCCGCAATCTACAAGTAATACGGCAGCAAGCGGAACAAACAATGAATGAAAACAATACTCTATTGAACGCGTCTATACCACAAGCCGCAGCTTGTACAGTGACTGTCCCATTTTTCGAGCAACATCTAACTTATATTTCAATCCTTGTTTGCCTACTATAAATTTACCCATATTTCACGGTTCTATTGATAACTGGTTAGAATTTCATGATCTTTTCAACTCACTTGTCTACCAATCTCATCTATTGAATCATCAGCTCAAAACTATGAGACAGCATGGAACTTGTTAAAAGAAAGATACAACGATCGTAAATTCATTCGCGATGCCTATATTGAATCACTAATTGATCCTGTCGTGAAACAAAACTAGTTTTGAATTTCACGAGCTCCTTGTATTAAACT